TTAGTACGAGTACAAGATAATTACAACAACTACCTACGAGCAACTATATACACTAAACTAATTTAACCTTCCAGCGGGCGCGCACATGTTCTTCGTATACGCGCGCCGGTTTTATGAAGGATATAAGTAAAATCTATTTTCTAGGCCTCAGCTTCTCAAGATATTCCTTCAGTGTTTTTCGAACCATCGATTCGCTCAAATCGCGTTCTGTTGGCGTATGTTATTTATGTTTCAATTTTTAAGATATCAGGGCATTTTCTCAAAAAAATGTTCCTGTGAAGAATATACAGGAATCGCAATGTCAGTAAAAAACGAGGGAGATACAAGTTATGCAAAGATACAACCACTATTTTCAAATGCAATGAATGTTTTTACTTGCAAAAACATTCGACGATTATTATTTACAATTATTATTATATACTGCGACTGAAAGTCTGCGCAAATTAAAATTTTTTTTTATTAAGCCATTTTCTAATAAAAGAGAACACTTATTTTTTTAAATAAATTTTTAATAAATTTTTTAATAAATAAATAATTATTTAATATATTGTAAACTTTCATCGCATAATGCTTATTTGATATTATGCTTTAATCTTTCGAATTCTTATTCTACGGTGTTCTCTGTACACGATGCGCCCACTGGAAAGCTAACTTTATAATAAAATAAACTTTCCTCGATAAATACTTAGAACTATACAACAATAAAAAATGACACATCACATATACAAGAAGTAATTAATAATCTAGATTAACAAAGCTTTTTGTATTTTCTCTCATATCTATATTTTATTATCATATATTCACCTTGATTATTTTATCACCTGCATGAAGACCAGCTCTTGCTGCTGCACCGCCTACAAAATATATCATTCTTATAAAAAACATTAATAATTTATATATGTATATTTGTGTAAACACAATTTTTGTTTATATATATATATATATATATATATGTACAGGATAATTCGAAATAAATGTTTGTCCTTAAAATAACATATTCTCAACTTAATTATAAGACTTTTTCTTTACCAAAATTTTCCAAAGTAGTTCTGAAATTATAGCAAGAAATAGTTAGCAAATTACGAAACACATAGAGAAGATAGATAGAGGCAACGCAACTATCTTCCGGCAATCCTTGAGATTAGCTGAAATCGCTAAATACGATAGCACATGCGATTGCAACTCCCCTTTCTCCCTCCCCCTTCCCTCAACCCCTTCCTCTTTCTCTGACATACGTAGGCATGCACAAAATTATCTTGTAAAAATTCGATGTGTTATTGTAACTTATTAAGAAAGACGGATAAAGACTTCTACATTTATTGTTAATATATATTTTTATTAATAATGTTACAATTGCGCTACAGTACATTGTTAACACATCGGATGTTCACAATGATAGTTCTATAAAGCAAGACAAATTAGCAGAATCAAATCGAAATTTTTAATATTTATTTTGTACTAAATTATATATTAATGATAATTTTGTAGTATGCCATTTCAAAAAAATCATGCTGCTAGCTTAATATTAAGATGGCAGGACCAATTGAAAATAAAAGAAAAAAAATAGTATCATAAATCAATAGAATTGAATTTATACTAATTTGTACTACCAAAAACAATTCTTATATTATGTCATTCCCAAGAAAACGGTGACTTTTTCATCAGAGATTGTTTCTACTGTACTATTGAAAGTAAATTAACATTAAAAATTTTTTTTCTTTTTAAAATGATTTTATTAGTATATAGGATGTTCCATTTTAATTGAATACCTCAAATACCCCTTAAAGTGCATTTAAAAAAAATCGCTTTACACAAAAGTTTTATGACTTCAAAGAAGACGTAAAATGGTTCTCATAGCTTACCTCGAGAGCTTTTCAAAACACTATAATAAAATATTTTTTCATTAAGTATTTTCCGAGTTATAAGGCTTGAAAGGCTATATTACCAGTAGCGTTATCATTATCCAATGCGTCCAACCGACTGAAACCTCTTGAATTTTGTTCATGATTATAACCTGGATAACATTTATCAAGATTAAGACTTAACTTGGAAGTTGCTCTTCTTGATTTTATTCTTGTACTAAAACTTCATTTCAAACCTCAAAAAAAAAAGCTAATTTATTACATATTAAAATTTTTTTTTAAGTTGAGTGTCGAGTTCGTATCGGTTGTTGATGTCATTAACATGTAGATTGTAAATATATACTAACAAATATTTACAAAAAAAATGTAAAATGTTAACTTCCTTTCAATGGTACAAATTCAATAATACATTCAGTTTTGTTCATTTTTGCCCTTGTGTTGTTTTTTATCTGTACCCATTTAAATATTATATAAACTAGCAGCGTGGAAGCGATATTATATAAACTAGCAGCGAACTATTTTCTTGGGAATGATATATAATAGAGATGCTTGAATTAATTCTCGTTGTTGACCAAGAGAGGTTAATATTTGTGCTATTTCAACGTAACCGAAAGTGATTGTTAATGTATTATGTATAAAAGTACTGTCAATAGGCTTTAATAATCAGTATGTAACATTTAATCGGATGCAAAAAACATAATTTTTATCACATTAAAAATATCGGTCTTCGTACCAAAAAAAAAAACATTTGCGGGAAGCATCTCTTTTCTGTTTTAATCTCAAGAAATTTGCTACAAGAAAGTCATGGTTTGCTAGTAGAAGCTTATGGAGAACATGCTCTATCTGAAACAACTTGCAGAGATTAGTTTAGAAAATCCAAAAACAATTTTGACGTGAAAGACAAAGAGCGCCCTGATCAACCGAAGAGATTGAAGATGAGAATTGGAGGCATTACTTCAAAAAGATTCATGTCAGACGCTCAAAAAATTGTCAGAAACATTAAATGTCGATGAGTCAACTATTAGCAGTCGTTTAAAAGCAATGGGAATGATCCAAAAGCTTTAGGAAACTGGGTCCCACATGAATTGAAGAAAAAGATATTGCGAAACGTTTAGCCATTTGTGAATGCTTCAAAGACAAAAATGGAAGTCGTTTTTGCATCGAATTATGACTGGCGATGAAAAATGAATTCGTTATGACAATCCTAAGCGCAAGAAATCATGGGTGCATCCCAGCGAACGATCAACATCAACGTCAAAACAGGATATTCGTGAAAAGAAGAGGTCATGCTGTGATAGGATTACTATCAAGTCCGTGTAGTATATATATAAGCTGCTGCAACCAAATCAAATCATCAATGCTGAACATTATCGACATCAATTACTCAATTTGAATCGAGCACTTAAAAAAATGCCCGCAATACGCCAAAAGATATGACAAAGTTCGTGGCAACGCTAGATCACATGTTGCAGAACCAATAAAGAAAATCTTGGAGGCACTTAAATGGAATGTCTTATCCCACCCGTCCTATTCACCTATGCTTCAAATTATCATTTATTTCGGTCGATGCAGCACTGGTCTTTCTGAGCAGCACTTCAGTTATTTCGAAGATATTAAAAAATGATTCGATAAGTGGATCGCCTCGAAAGAACCTGAATTTTTCTATCGCGGAATCCATTTGTTACCCGAAAATTGAAAAAAAGTTATAGCTTTCTATGAACAATATTCTGAATATCAGATATTAAAATATCAGGTATCTTTTTGATGAAATAAACATGAGTTTTTGTAGCAAAAAACAGCGAGAATTAATTTAAGCAACTAAAATTGTTTTAGTACAAATTAATACAAATTAATTAAGATAGTACAAATTAATACAAATTCCTGTTAATTTCTGATATTACTGACATTGCACAATACCTACGTTCTTTTATTTAAATCTTATATTTAATCTTATATTTAATTAATTTATTAATTAATTAATTTTTTATTTAATTAACTCATTATTAGAAATAATTTTCATTTCGATGGACCATGTCTAGTTCCCAAAACAAATATCTATATATGTTAAACTTCCATTCCTCTTACAAATCTAAATCAGATATCACATGTTCCTACTGATACAAATCGCACAGGTCAAGTAATTAATCAGTTCTTCTTTTGTCATTGTATAAAACGTGTCACTTCAATATCATAATCAATGTAATTCATGCCCGATATAAACTATTCATTTATTTGAAGAAAACGAAAAATCTACTCATGTCAGTTAAATGATGTACTATGAATGATTCATAATTATCAATCTTGTCAATTAGTCATTCGGTGACTGAAAATCACTCAAAGAAACTCACGACAATCATCGTGTTATTTTCCTCGAATGATTTTCATTGATCAGATTCGATAAGATGTAGATTTTAACAATTTTATTAAATTTTTAAAGCTCTCTCGAACAAGGGAGGGAAAATGATTTCTATGTAACCATTCCCCGAATCTCTGCCAACATTCGTTCAAGTATCCTCGAAAAAACCATGACTCAATAACCGAGGATGAGACAGTTCCAGCAAGATGTAAAGACTTAGAAGACTTATAATAGATAAGCAGTTTTATGTATAATCCTATCAGTCTTTTCAGTCACTTTCGTTCCTCCCCGAATAGCTGAATCTCCCCTCCGGCAATCGACACCACCAATGATTTGTTTTCATGAATAGTGAGGAGTGTATATCAATGGCACACAAGCCAATTGCGCACAAGATCATAGCATTAGAAAAAAATTAAAAAATAAAAAACTGCCTATGCAGAAGTCGCTGTTGCTACAGTATGCAAATAAACTGCTCCCAATGATGATACAGCAAGATCTCTCTACCACAAATAAAACATCAGGAAACCGCTCTGCCTACGCCAGCAAATAATATTTCTTCTCGCTCTTGTTAACTATAACAAGAAGAAGATCAAAGAAGAGGATCAAAAAGAAGATCAAGAATAGAATTCCATGTTCACATCCCTCTTATCTTTGAAAAAAGACACTCAATTATCATCTCTCAACAAAAGGGGCAAACCTATCTGCATGAACTATTATACCTGTGTCTGACTTTCAAATTCGAAAAACGACTTCACTCAGTTTTTTAATTATCTCGTAAGATCCTTCTCAATTATTTTGTAATTTCGGGGCTTTCCCCCTCTATCTTCATAGATTATAATCAGACTTTTTGTCTTACGTCGAAAATAGTCCGTCTAGCCCTTTAATCATAAACGATTCTTGACCTGTGAGAATTGTAAATTCAAACTCTCTCTAGTAATGAATCACATTCAATTTTCCTCTTAATGCCACAATATAGTCACCTTCCAAATTCTACTTTCTTTCTCCCGAAACATCATTTCGAAGTAAATCTATTGGTATTTATATTGGAAATATTATTTATATTGATAATTATATTGGAAAAATAATTCTGCAGGAGTAGTTCCTGTAGCCTCATGCCTCGATGGGCAGACTAGTAAACACATAGGAATTCAAGTGTTCCAACCATTTAGATTTTCCAAAATAAATTTATTATAAATTTATTATAAATAGTTAAGAATTGTTGTATATAATTAAGAAAATGTTTGATGTTCAACTTATCTGTCAAATTGTGAATATAAAGCAATTCTTGTTTTCCTAATTCTCAACATACGAATTAATTCCTAAAAAATTTTCGATTCCTAAAAAATTTTTTCCTTAATCTGTGCAACTCAAGAGGAAAGAAGCGGACATTATGACAAGAAATTACTTGATTTATAAAGATTTTCGTCACTGTTTTAGCTTTGAAATTTTTAAGAGAAAAAACTTCAATCCATTTTGCGAAAAATAATCAACAACTATTAAAAAGAAATCATTAAAAGGATTTCCAGAAAAAGTTGGAACAGGTCCATGAATATCCACATGAACTCTTTCAAACGGAGTACTAATGTTGTAAATCTGTAATAAAGACTTCCCTTTTCTAAAAAGTCCTCGCATTGTA